GGAAAAAAAACTTTGTTTTTTGAGAACTGGCAACGATGAGTGTATGCTGTTAGAACAGTGACGCAGTAGAATAATGACGCTTTTAGATATGAATAAGAATGATGCTAAGTAATTAGAAGTGTTTTTGATTTTGTAATGATTCAGAAATTGTTCCTCTTTCGTGCGAAATGTCAAATAAAGTGATTCATACAAAATAGTGCCAATTTTAGATGAGTTTGAAACCAAATCGGAGTCTACAAAAGCGGCGGACCAGAATCGAAGAACGCGGATCATAAAGGTAAGTAACCTTTTTTCTTTGCTTATCTAAGAATTTTGAATGATCTGTTTTTTACTGAATTGAAATGATAATATATTACTTTATTATATATATACTAGAAAGCCCGGAGGTCATATGAAATGATCGCTGTTCTAGATATTATAAATTGTAATTAAAATGATTTATGCAAAGGTGTCTGCTAATTCAAATTGAATTACCCAGGGCAAGGGCCGAGGACGCCCCTTTGCTTACTGCCCCACGGGGTTTGCCCCTTCCACTTGCTTAATTGCTTAAAGTAGACTGCAATAAAGAAACTACTGGCGGTAAATTTCTTAAAGAGACACCGCTAGCTCAATAAATAAAGGTGATTTAAATAATAAAATTTTAATTCACATGTCAGAGATCTCTTTGTACACAACATGCAAACAAATGTTCACCTTCCTCCTGACACACTCAATTTGCATTCAGTTGTAAACCATTTCAAAAACAGTTGATTGCTAATGCAAACAAATGTTCACGTTCTCCCTGACACGCTCAATTTGCGTTCAGCTGAAAATTCAGTTTAAAATACAATGTCGGAATAAAATCGGGTATAATTTTAAACTCTTTACTCGAAAATATATTTAGCATAGGAGTTTGGGTAAACCTACCTGATGAGATGGACTACGCGCAACTTGTTAGTTTGTTTCATCTCCTTTAATTTATCATCGTTTGCAAGTTTCTAGGTAAGTCATATGTAAATATAGTTATATGCATAATAAGCAACAGATGTACGAATTAAAAATATTTAAATGTTCTTAAATACCATGATAATTTAATTAAAACAATGATAACTGCACGTATGGTATCAGTGTATTTGAATGCCGTGGCAACTTCACCCCATTGGCTAGTACAGTTACGCAAGCAATCAATAAACTATCGGCGACAAACAGACACTTAAGCCGCATATAATAAAGATATCAAATTATATTTGAACTGTTATGCACAATTAAAAGAATTCTACATCCACCGTGCATAAGAATAATGTTATAAATTTATTAAATTTACTAATTTTATTTATTTCCAATAAAAATCTTTGCACGCATGCAGTGCTTGAAATTGCTCTTTTGTTGCCAAGGAAAATATTATTTAGACGTAATTTGCTTTTAAATGGTTGGTATTGTTACAGTCATTTCCTGTAAAGTCTAATAATAAACACGTGAGGAGCTTCTCTAGCTTGAACTTCTGGAGGCCCCCAATCTTAGGACACAGGGTATATTTAGCATTCTGTTAAAAATTAATTAATGATTTGGAGTCTCCTCGTATGTATGATTTATACGATTTCAAAAATCTGCTTTTGTGTGTAGGTAAAGAAATGCATCTGTAATTGATGAATGACTTCAGACGTTGGTGGTGATGGTATGACCTTGCCATATTCATTTCAATTTTTATTAAGAATACGCTAGGTACAGCGGTTCTCAACTTTTCGACTAACGCGTACCTGAATAAAAACTGAAAAACTTAAGTACCACCCCTCCATTTTACAATGATTATATTTTGCCATTTGAACAGCCTATTGGCTATTTGTATTACATATCTATACATAAAAATATTTTAGATTAAAAATGGGTTACCATTTTTATTATCAAAATTTAAGTTATAATACTTTAATTCTAAAATTTAGTACGAAATTTGGGCCTGTTTAAGAGTTTGTGTCTGGTCTTATTTCACTTGGTTTTAACCGAAAATTAAGATCCACTTATAATTTTCTTCTAGATTTAATTTTTAACACACAAATAGGTTGTGCAAAAAGGAAATAAAAATTTAATAGCTTTATTTGAAATGCCTTTAAAGTTATTTTTCGGTTCATACACAAATTAACAAGTGTATTATTTTTGAAATCTTCAGTTCGACTTCGAACACAGGAAATTTCTATCAATTGTTCTTTTTCTTTACGACATTACGAGAGTAAAACCAAAGAATACTAGTAATTCACATTTGGAAAATAGTAATTTGAGTACAATACTGAAAAAAGTTGGTTTTAAGAATTTTTTTATGCATGTGATGTAAAAAATTGCTAGTTTTCCATGAGTGTGGACATAGATGCAATTAGTGTAGGAAAAAGGTAAAATTAGTATAGTCAGTGTCTCTAAAACATGAAAAAATAATAGTATATGAGCAATATAAATTAATTTGATGTATTGAAATATGACATCGACTAAATATCAGAAGATGTAAGAAATATTTTGGTATATGTGGATGAAACACTGAATGTGTAATGTAAAATTAGAAACGAAAATTATTAATACACTTAAAGGTAATCGGGATTTAAAATTAAACATGATGTTAGAAACTTTGAAGACCTTAAACTATATGAGAAATAAATACATTTAGATATAAATGGTATTAAACTGTAAAATTGTGAATGGAAATTTCTAAGTAAAACTAAGTCTGATCAATTATGATTGGAGAATGTAACAAGTATTTAAAAGATTTCAAGGAAATGTTTGAATACGCAGTAAATGAAAACTATCCATATTGTTAAAAAGTGTGTTGATGACTAAAATGGAATAAAATGTTGGAATTACGAATGATGAGACAGAAATAAAAACCGTATAATAAATAAGTTACACTAGAATTATGAAATACAAACTAAGAAGAGAAATCATGAACGCAAGAAAAGTAATTAACAGTTATAGACTTAAAATTAAAAAAAAATATTGTATAGTGTAAGGAAGATATTATTAAACATGTGAAAGAAATTAGAAATTCCGTAAAAAATTAAGTAAAGAACTAAGATCACGAAAATAAAACGGTTCTTTTTTATCAGAATTTAAAACAAGTGAGTTAAAATGAAAGTGTGTATAAAAAACTAGAAAAAAAAAAAAAAAAAAAAAAAAAAAAAAAACACCCCCCAGCAAAAAAACAAAAAAAAAAAAAAAAAAAAAAAAAAAAAAAAAAGAAAAAAAATTATGTTTTAAAATTAAATGCTACAGTGAACAGTAGTTGGTATAATAAAAAGTAAATGAAGTTAAAATTCGAAATATATTGAACACTATAGTGCGAAATTGTATTTAAAATTAAGAAATGTAACAAATAAACTGCATGTATGGAGACAATTACGTTTGTGAAATCTAACGTATAAATTAAAAATCAGTGTATTTTTAAAAATTATAAAGATATGAAAAAAATAATAATATGTGGAAATTAAATAAAATATTACAAATTAGAAACGCTAAGTATTAAAAATATGACGGTAAACAAATATGTTATGAATAGAAAAACCTAGGAACTAAGTTAAATGTTCATGGGGAAACTAGAAAGGATAAAAGTATTAGAAAAAAAATGAGTAATAAAAAATTTATCTTGTAGTTTCATTTTCATTACACGATGAATTGTTCTTAAAGGGAATTTTTTTTTAATATTTATTTCTCTTATATTATTTTCAGAGTCGCGCAATGAATAATTTTAACACCAGACTTAAAAATATATTTCTAAAACGTATAATTCACTTTTTCATCAACAGAGGGCAGCATCGCCATTTCATCAAAATTAAGATGCAAAAATATTGCTTGTTGCCAATTTTTGAAAACTAAATTTAAATGAAAAGCAGGAGGTTTACAACTCAAGCAGCAACCTAAAAACAACTCAACTCAACTTGTTATGCCATTGGCCACGCCCCTGGTGTGATGTCATTGATGAAGTTGCACGATGCACCTGACCCACTGACCAGCTGCCGCAGAACTCTCATTCTTATACTACTGATGTATAGATGCATATATTAATTATACTGTAGACGTTCGTTTTAACGAACCTCTTTTTTACGAACACTCTCGATTTCACGAACTAGCGAATGGTCCCGAATACACTGCCATAGATGTAATGTAATTTTGCGCTCTTATTTACGAACTACAAATCAGGAAAATCTCTTTTTTGCGAACTCAATTTTCATACTTCTGCGTGTTTCATTGGGACGAAGTGTGAAGTTCAAATAAAATCAACTATTTTGAGGCAGCAAGTGCGAAACATTCGAAGAAGTACAGTAAGGAAGGAGGGGGCGGAGAAGAGGGGGAATTAGGACAAATTTATGGTGTTGTTTGTTGTGGGAGGCTCTCAGAAGAGCATCGGCCTGATGTTGTTGGGTGGGGGTGAGACCATTCGTGTTAAAGGGGTTTGGGTTGCTTCTAAAAGAGAGTTGTTGCTTTTTGTAATGTCATAGTCATTTGATCTGGACAACTCAATCAGTGAAGTCTCGTTAGTCGAGAGGGAGATTGGGCCAGTTTTTGTTAAGTAAGATTCTTAGAGCTATGTCGCAAATGAAGAAACGAATTTGTTTAGCGGTTGAAATAAAGAAGAAGATTTTAAAAGAAGTTGACGAAAAAATATTAAGCAAGACACAAATTGCTCAGAAATATGGAATTCCTAAAAATAGTTTATCGACGATTTTAAAGGCAAGAGAGAAGATCTTTGGAGCTAAAAACGGAAACGATGAATGTGGACCCTCCTCTCGAAAATATTTTCGAGAATCAAAACACCCAAATTTGGAAAGGGCTTTGCTTGTTTGGTTTCGAAAGATGAGAAGCTTAAACATTCCAATTGATGGAAATGTACTTAAAGAACAAGCACACTTTTTTGCTTCCAAATTAAACATCAAAGATTTTAAAGCATCGGATGGTTGGTTACAGAAATTTAAATTTCGGAATGGTTTGAGTTTCCGGAAAGTGTGTGGTGAAAGTGCAGCAGTAGACACGTCATCAGCAAATGAATGGAGAAGAAAAGAAAAGTTGAATTGAAATTGCTTCTTTCTGAATACGCTGCAGATGACGTTTTTAATGCGGACGACGAAACGGCTTTGTTTTTTAAGATTTTGCCAGAAAGAACATTAGCTTACAAAGGAGATAAATGTGTTGGTAGGTAATAAAGCTAAAGAGAGACTTACAGTTTTGATTGCAGCCAACATGACTGGGTCACAAAAATTGCCTCTGCTCTTTATTGGAAAATATCTGAAACCAAGGTGTTTCAAAAATGTTCAGAAGATTCCTGCTGCATATTATGCTCTGGATGACTGGCAACATCTACGAAAAATGGTTGAGAGATTTAGATAACCGTTTTTCAGCAGAGAAGCGCAAAGTTCTCCTAATCGTGGACAATTGTACTGCACACATGGAAGTCACTGGGCTTCAGGCAATCCGTGTGGAATATCTCCCACCAAATGCAACTGCAGTTTTACAGCCAATGGATCAGGGGATAATCAATAGTTTCAAGCGAAAAATATAAGACAGTGCTCTTGCAAAGAGTAATCCTTGGCTTGGAAAGGGAACAACCTTATCAGATTGATATTCTTGGTGCAAAGCATTTATCAATCAGTCAGTGCATGGAATGATGTTTTAGATGAAACAATTTCTAAAGCCTTTCGACATGCAGGTTTTATTAAAAGAACAGACGACGTAACTGAAGAAATCCATGACAATAGATCTCACGACGAAGATGAGGTTCTCATGCATGAACTTCGCCGTAGAAATCCACAGTTGCCAGAACTTTCATTCGAGGATTTTTTAAATGTGGATTCTAATGTCATCTGCACGGAGGAAATATCGGATCACGATATTATTAGCAGCATAATCAACGAGAATGAGAGACTTTCAGATCCAGAAGAAGAAGAAGAAATGAAAATAAGTAAGTAACACCAAGACCGACTTTAAAACAAGCTGCTGAATACTTGTCAGAACTTAGACGATTTTTTGAGGCCAGTGATAATTGTGAAATGCTAACAAATATAGAGAAGATGGAGTCTTGCATTGTACAATCTGTTGTTTTAAAACAGACAAAGATAAGTGATTATTTTGTTGCTCAATGACTTAATAAAGGTACGTTTTACAAATATTTTATATTTCTTGTTTGTTTAATAGAATGGATATCATTTATTAAGTAGTAATACTATTAAAAATAATTCCTAATACATAAATAAAAGCATGGAATAGTATCACTAACCTGTCTCGAAAACATTAAAATGTGAAATACTAACAATTTCCGATGCCTTTCTAAATTACGAACTCTCGATTTAACGAACTGTTTTCGTAGTCCCTACGAGTTCGTAAAAACGAGCGTCTACTGTATATATAATTTCAATTTTATTTAAAATTTTATTAACTTTAAATTTGCTTTTTACGAATAGAGAATGTTTGTTGTTAAATTTATTATATATATATATAAAGATAAAAAAAATATGAAAGTATTCTAAATTTAATCACTATAACCTCTTTTATTTTTTATTTCATTTGGGAACTTCATCTATCTGTCCTAAAATAGTGCTGTAAGTCTAAACTGAGTCATTCAAGTTAATCACGCGATCTTTCGTAACCCTTAATGCAGATGCCTCTTGACCAATCACCAAATTGCAAACCATAATTAAAAACTGAAACTTTTCACTCCCTCCCTCCTTTCTATGAACTGATGCGTCACTTTTGCTTGTGCTTTCCTCTTGGCCAGACGCCTTTCTCCAATCATATGTGTGCTGCTACATTCGCTTCTATGGCAATAATATCAAAATTTGAAATGTTTTTTAATGGGCAAGAGTAGAGTGCCAAGTGAATTATAGCCACAAAATGAGAATTTAAATAAAAAAAAAAGAATTTAATCCGGCTCGACTGCTTATTCTTCAAAATGGATGGATGCTTTAAAGCATTAAGTATCCACCGCAATTAATATTTCTGCGCATCTACGTCTCAGCGTTCGTATAATGCCTTCAAAATTGTTCTGCCATTATATTCTTCGGCCATTTCTAATTATGAAGAAATCTAAACGGGTTTGTTAAGCTATATTCACAGTGAATTATAGGAAAAGTCCTGTTTCACCGAAGATTTTAATGCAAGTTTGTGCCGCATTCTCAATCAAATCATTCATGTCGCGTCACCGAACCACAGTTTCATTACATATATATACTATATATTAAACTTTTATGTCATGCATAACGATATAATTGTGTAAAATAGCATGCAGAAACATCTCATATATTATTCAAAAGGTTTTAATAGGAGGAATTTGCTGAAATGCAAATGTTAACAAACCATCTTGTTCTTTAAATGGAAAAATTTAAAATGATGTTTTAGCATAACTTTAGGGTACAGAAAATTTTTAAATGGGATTTGTTTAAAATCCTTGCAATAAATCGAATTTTAACATAAAATAAAAACTGAAATTCAATTTTTTAAATTACATAAAGCATAACCCTTAACACTAATTATATAAAGTATATCTCTTAATAAGATGTATCCCTTTATATAAAGTATACCCCTCAAATATTATTTTTAAAATCGTCGATTTATTTTGAAATGTCAAAATAATTTCCTTTTTACAATGAAAATTACTTTAGCTTAATTTTAATATTATGCTTATTTTAGTCGTTGTCAACCGGTGGTACGTGTGCCACTGGTGGTACGCAAGAGAAAAATACGTGGTACGCAAAGAAGCAAAGTATTTTTAACTATTAAATTCAAAAATTAAAATACCAACATCCCGATTGAGTTTTTTCTCTAATACTCGTAAATTTATGCGATCTGAGCTTTGATCAAGATGGTGGTAGTAGTACTTTGTAGCGGTGGTACTAAATGATTTCAGGGCCCACCAGCGGCCGAGCGGTAAAGTCGCTGAACACTGGTAGTTCGGTCCGAGGTTCGAATCCCGCGAACGGGCTGGCTGCATGGCGTTTTCGTGGTTTTCCCCATGTGTAACGTGTATACGAGCCAGTTTCCCTTAGAAAGGCATCCCTCCCCTTAGGCAGATAGCCCTAGTGTGCTTTGCGATAATTGAATACACCACCTAAATGATTTCAATTTTTATTTAGATGCTACGCGTTAGTCAAAAGTTGAGAACCGCTACTTTATTTTATTGATATATATATTTTTATAATTATATTGCATCTCCTCATAATTATGAATGTATGAAGTAATTAAGTTATTAATTTTAACTCAATATCGCATATCGTTAATGAATTTATTATTTTAGTATATTTTAGAAATTCTAGAACATGCCTTTAATTACAAAAGCCTTTTTCTTTCAAAATTTACGACAGCCAAATGTATAAACTAGATAAACAAAATAGATATAATATAGACATGTAATGAAAAATATGTCTTGACGGCCTATTGTACCAGAAGCGAAATGGCATAACGACTAAACAGCAGTGGCGAAACGGCTGCAGTGAATAGTCCCATTTCCTTCGAACATACTCCTTTTTTCAGTTCCTCCCCAGATATTCTACCGGATTAAAGTCTGGGGACTGTAACAGTTTTTGAAGTTGATTTTTAATAAATATTACGGTACTTAGGTATTAACACAAATACCTTACACAAGTCATCAAGTTTACAGTATGTGCCAAAATCTGTCAACCATGCGCATAACCATTCTTCCGGCAACCATCCTTATAACAGTCCTTCAGTTAAGTAACGCCGCCATTTTCGCATACGTTCTTTTTTTGTTGTATTCCAAATTCCAACGTTTTTTACAAACAAATCATGATATTTTTTGCCTTAAACATAGTTTTAAAATATATTATTACATATGGTTTTAAAATATAAGCTTGTGGAACTTGCAATGGAAGAAACAGCGATAAAATGTTTCCAAGAATGCGGAATTTTGTTGAAACTTTTCTAAAGGGAACAAAGAGGAAATGTGTTTCCCCAACACCCGCTGTTGCCGAGAGAGATCGCTGTGTACTTCGGGAGGAGGAAATCGGACACACACACACACACACAAAAAAAAAAAAAAAAAAAAAAAAAGAACTACAGAAAGATTTGAAGAAGAATGTAAGTGTTTGATCTTTTTAATGCATCCCGCAATCCTTATTTGATAATTCAAATTTGTATTTTAAACTGATAAAGTATGTTTTCTTTTCTATGTTGATAACGTTTAACCGACTTAGACAAATATCGATATTTTGAGAATCTTTCCAAAAAAATTCTCGAAAACTACCAACTTGGACTCGGTCAGTAACTTTTATCTTGTCATATGTAAAATATCGCCAAATTAGGCCATGGTGGTTGCGTTACTACGTAAGTACCAAAATAAAAGACATTTTTCCATAAGACCTTAAGTATGTTTCGAGTCGTTATCTTGTTGGAATGTATAATTTGAGAGCAAGTCTAAATTAGCCACATTGCTGCGAAAACGCATGTTTAATATATTTCAGTATTCATATTGATCCATTGCTATGCTTATAAAGTATAATTTTCTCACATCATTCGCGGCCGTGCGCTCTTAGACTATGATAAAACAACATTTCGTGCTTTACATTAAGCATCATATTTTTCATTTCGAAATCTTCATTCTACGTCGCCCCATCTTAATTTTTTTATAATTCCCAAATAAGTTAAAATTGCTCTTGGTTTCACTTTACTCTTACTTTTACTTTGGTCACTTTACTCTAGGTCTCCTTCATGAACTTTATAAAATGATTTTTCAAAATCAGATTTTTTGGCATGGTTGATTGCAGTTACGAAAGGCCTTTTTCCTTGAATTCTGAAAAGAAGCCGCCTTCTTCAGACACTGAGGAACCGCTTCAGAATACAAATCAATGCCTGCTCGGCATAAACAAGATTGCACTTAATCTATTATTGTTTAAGTTAAGTTTCCTTATGACGGACCTCTTTTTATGATCATTTAATTTCCGCGTTTTTCCACTTCGTGGCTTGCTTTCAAAAATATCGATTATCCGAAAATGTCTTATTAGTGTTTATACGGTAGAATCTGCCAGTCGAAGTGTTTTTCCAAATTTTCTGCGACTTATTTTTTTTCATTTACAATTGACACTTATGTTTTTTCATTGCTCATATTCACCTAACAACTGAAATACTTAAGCTCTCTTATCCGAAGCAAATTAGTCTAAATGCAATAAATGAATAAACAAGGATATTAGCCTTTTTGGTTTTGCAAATTACTTCACTGCAGTCAGTCGTATGTAAGGGTTTGTTGAAAACACAAAAATGCAATTTTAAATATTAATAAATTTTAAAAATAATTTTTCTGTTAATCTTTCTGTTTTTCTGTATGGCATTAAACTTAAGCATATCAAGCAAAAAATATCTGAAGATAACTGATTTTTATGTTATCTTCAGGAGTAATAGTTACATTCTACCTTCGTTCTAATAAAACACTGTATCATTTCGTTTTGCTCAGGATGTAAGGTAAGTTAAATCTCTCCTAAGTCCCAACCCTGATAGACTCCCAACTTCTTAAAATCTTTGATATAAAAAATTAGACTTATAAATGCTAATACATGTTTCTTGATACGAATTTTCTAAGCACCTTTTAAAGCTTTCAAAAACCTGAGATTTTTTTTCATTGCATTGCATACACTTTTTATTTTTACGCGAAAGATTGGATTTATTAGATTGTAACGAAGTATACTGAAGTTAGCAAAAGGCAAAAGAGCTGGCTGCATGGGCGTTTTAATGGTTTTACCCAATGTAACGTAAATGTGAGCCAGTTGCCTTTAGAAGGTTACTCATGAAGACATTTCTTCCCATAGATACAGTGACTCTCCCCAAAATAAACTGCTATTTTTTATAAATGTAATATGTTTAATGAATTTTTCAAAGTGATTAATAATTATTAATGGTACTATGATGTCAAAAATTGAGAATACACCTGCTATTGTTTTGATAAATATAATATGTTTGATAATTTT